TGATTGTTCTCTGCTGTCAGATATAAGAAAAGTTCACTTGTTCATGTACTGACAATCTGAACCAATCTTATTTCCATCAGAGGGCCTGGTTTCCACCGCCACCTTGGGTTGCAGTCTCAGGTCTGCGCGCCGGTCCTGTTCCCGCTGGGCCTCCTGCAGGTTTTGCGGGACCTCCTGCAGGTTCTGTTTGCACACCTGCAGCTCCTGCTGAGGCTCCTGCAGTTCCTGCTGTGATTCCAGCTGCCCCCCGGACTTCAGGCCTCGGCTCCTCTAGGAGGAGGAGGAGGAGGAGGAGGAGGAGGAAGGACAGTGGATCCGAACAGGTTAGTGTGTTGAGGTGGAGACCAAATCAAAGAGCTAACCAACACCCTTCTCCTCCTCCAGGTTCCTTTTCCACCTCTGATGACAGCACCGTGGGGTTCTGGAGGTACTTTGAGGGACCGTTCCAGTGGGAGGAGGAGGACGACGCTCCGGCTGGGGCTCCAGCTGCGTCTCGGTCTTCAGGCCTCTGCTCCTCAGGGAGGAGGAGGAGGAGGAGGGAAGCCTGTCGATCCGAACAGGTTAGTACCAAGAGGCAGAGGATGAATGATTAAATTAACTCAAATTAACTTAAATTAACCATTCTCTCTTTACAGTTCTTATATTTCTTTTCTAAAAAAAAAAAAAAGCACTAACCTGCTTCCCACAGGTTTTATACACCTGTGCCTCTGGCCAGGTGTACTGTAGCTTGTAGCATCTTGCTACAGCTGCTTTGTAAATAGTTTGTTTTTAAAGCTTAAAGGTGTGATTTAGCCTCTGGCAGGGCGAACAGAGCCACAGGCAGCCGGAGCCTCAGGACAGGCTGTCCTGGTACCTGGTAGTGTCTGGCACCAGGTCCTGTTGATCCAGATAGAAGGTTTCTTTGTCTTTTCTTTCTTTCTGAAGGATCTGGGGTCGGATTTATAAAACTCGCGTATGCACAATTTGAGCCCAGAAACTTGCGTACGCCACTTTTCACGCCAAGGTTGTGATTTATAAAATCCAAACTTGACGTGAAAATGTGCAGTGCCTCATACCAGCTCTGACCCATGAGTACGCTCATTTTGGAGACAGGAAACTGACAGCACCTGTAATCCTCCAGACGCACGAAGGAGCGCGCGTCTGTACCGGCCAATCACTTTTGTTGGCATTGATCATCTGACTGATTTAAATACATCTTAACATTCATGAGGTACTTTACATTGACTGTTTATGGTTGAGTGTGGGCGTGTAGAGGGTAGAACCTGAGGCGGGAACTTGTGCGCAAATTATGCGGCACAGATGTGATCTATAAAGGGAAAATACATTGAAACATGCGTACGCATGGTTTTATAAATCAGAATTTTTTTTGGCGCACGCCATTTTCGTCTTTTGGCCGTACGTTCATTTTTAGTATGGTTTCAACGCAATCCTTTACAAATCTGACCCCAGATCAGGACAGGAACTACAAGCTGGAGAGAAACAGTTTCTGAAACATCACAGGAGACATGAGCTGCTGGAGCGTCTGCTGCAGGGACAGCTGCATATTTAGCATATTGGACAGGTTAGTGTGGACAGGTTAATGTGGACAGGTTAGTGTGGACAGGTTAGTGTAGACAGGTTAGTGTAGACAGGTTAGTGTGGACAGGTTAGTGTAGACAGGTTAGTGTAGACAGGTTAATGTGGACAGGTTAGTGTAGACAGGTTAGTGTGGACAGGTTAGTGTGGACAGGTTAGTGTAGACAGGTTAGTGTAGACAGGTTAGTGTGGACAGGTTAGTGTAGACAGGTTAGTGTGGACAGGTTAATGTGGACAGGTTAGTGTAGACAGGTTAGTGTGGACAGGTTAGTGTGGACAGGTTAATGTGGACAGGTTAGTGTGGACTGGTTAGTGTAGACAGATTAGTGTGGACTGGTTAGTGTAGACAGATTAGTGTGGACTGGTTAGTGTA